AGGAGAGGAGGAGAAGAGAAAGAAAGGAGAGGAGGAGAAGAGAAGGAAAGCAGAGGAAAAGGAAAGGAAAAATGAGCAAAAGAAGATGAGAGAGGTGAGAGCGGAGCAGCTAAAGAAGAGGAAAGCGGAGGAGGAGAGGGCAAAAAGCATCGAGCAAGGTATGAATGAGAAATTAGAGATTGATCTGACCTTTGAACTTTGTGCGAACATAATAATAATTAAATATTCCACTTTCTTTCCATATAGACACACAACCAAGGCCAAGCAGGTACTCTTTGCGCAACTTGCCAGAGCGTCAGAGGCTCAGGAAGGAGAGAAATGGTAATAATTTCAATGAGCCACAACTCTTCTCTGAGACAAATATTACGTTTGAGATTTACTGTCATATTTTCTATTTTTACAGGTAGCCAAAATTAAATAAATAAAATAAATGTTCCATAAATAATTCTTTCAATTCAATTTCAATACCTTGTGATATGTGCCGCTCATACTTGTTAAACTTTTAACATAGTTAATCTGAATCACTTTCAAAAGCATCGATACCTGTCTCCCAAATTACATGACACAACAAAGAATTAGAGAGAGAGAGAGAGAGAGAGAGAGAGAGAATTTGAAAAATTGTAATAAGCAAGTACTGCTACTCCAATTAAAGTAATGTTTGAATTATTTTAACAAATTTATTTGTGAGGGACTTAAACTATGAAGGAGGAATCTCAAGAAACAAAGCACAGTTTAGTCTGTGTTCATACACAAAATCCAATCAAACTAGGTCTCCAGGGAAGACTATTTGCTTTTAAAGCTATATTTCTTTGTATAGAAGTGTTGACTTTCCATGACTAAGCATGTGCTCCACTCTGGTTAATACATACTTTCAACAGAACTTCTTTAAAAATATGTTATTACAGAAGTATTTTAAAAGAAAATTAATAAAATATTTACAGGGATACAGTTACGTTATCTGAGACCAAATTTTAACTGAAATGTTCGTAGGTGTTAATTTTAATTTCACTAAAACACACATGTGTTGGTTAAGATTGAGCTATCAAAAATACACCAACTGGAGTACCTTGGATTTAAATTGTCACTTTTCGGATGCAAATGCTTCTGTAGACTTTTGAAAGTTTTGATGCAAGGGTCACCTTAAGTTACGCATAGGCTTAAAAACAATGTTGAAAACTGTTTCACGTTTAATGTAAAATAAAGACCTGGGCATCAATTAAGGAATCACAGGATATTTTAACAACTAGTTTTCGTAACATTGTGACAATTTTTAAGATGTCTTCTGATATGCTACTAATAATATATGAACATGTTGCAGTTTACAATAATTACCGATGATGAAGGTGCACCCCGAAAGAAAAGATGAAACTTGTGAAGTGCGCACTGAATGTCTAACAGTAATTCAGTCATCTACAGCTTAACATTGTGCTGCACTAAGTTACTGAATATGATTAATCCTTTCCCTGATCATCCCAACATATCTGATCAGATCTGGTCACCGATTTTGGTTTTTCTCAAAAATGAAAGGTACAAATAAAATAAGAATCCATACCAAACCTGACCCTAAAAAGGTTTGGGAGGCATGAATTTATTCTGAAATGGTCTTCCAGATTGCTTTAAACAACTCAAAGAGAATCCACAAAATTTCCAAAACCACCTTAAGGTCTATCTTATAGAGAGAGAACCATACAATTATGAGGACTTCTTGACGTGATATGTTCATTGCTTTTTTTAGGAGTTTCTGTTTTGCCCAACTTTCTTTACCTTTACAAGTAATTAATTTTTACATCACTCCAAAGATTCAAAGAGTTGTATATAAACCTACAGTCAAAGCCTCTCCTTTGGCCTCAGCACTTTAGGAATTTCCATCTCCTAAACCATTTGACCTACAGAGCCCAGATTTTGTGTGGGTTCATATTATACCTTCTATTTACAAGACAAAAACCAAAATCAGTGACCAGATTTGAAATCTTGGCATGAGCAGGGAAGGAATGAATAATATCCACTTGTATTACATAACAAATAACTACAACAATTGTATGATAAAAATATACCTCAACAGTCAGGGAAGACAGAACTTTCTTTGGCTTCAATCCACAATTCTTATCCTTCATTCTGTAACATAAAAACACACATTAAATATATTTTTGATAGCAAATTTTAAATGCACTGTAAAAACAAGAATAACCAAGCAGAGCAGCTTTTACCCAGGATTGTGACTCCTCTGATGTACAATTTAAATTTCTTCATCAAGAACGTAAGTGTCTAACACAGCAATGCTCATGGTAACAATCCCATCTCTCCACATTGGCCCCTGTTCATTTGGTGAGCGCAGTGCCCGAGGTGCCCGGTGCCCGTCGACACCGAGAGCAGGACGCCCGTGACGCTGATAGATGCCTGTGAGCCCCGCATGGGGT